TCTTTTGCCCTGTTCCACGGCATCATGTCCCTGGTAAGAAAGCTAAACCCTCTTCTGCCATTCTATTATTTGTCGAGCTTTGAAAAATCATGGTCAGGGCTGTCTATAGCAATGAAGTTTGGCTCTCTCTCTGTGCAGAGTGGAGCTTTTCATGACAAATTTGAGGTAAATTCAGAGTGCTTAAATGACTTTTTTAATTAATAACGTGTTTTCTTTTGTAAGAAAACTGAAAGAAAAGAAGAAAACTGTTCGTTGTTTCATTTACTTGGTATTTTTTCAACACAGAAAACCTCGTATCAGTGTTTTCATTTCTGTACCTTCCAAAAGTTATGCGTGGTTTTGTGTGGATGCTTGCGTGAGTACCTCTGAGCTCTCTGCATCACGATGACAGCCATTTAAGGGATATCCTGTGTGCTAATAGCACTTGAAACAGGATATCTTGTGAGCTAGTGGGACTTGGAGTTCAACTTGAAGAACTCACAACAAATCCAATCCCGTTACTTAATCATTCTTCAACGAACATAGGATCCTTTTAATAAATCACTGACCAGAAAAATCTGTAAACAATTGACTAAAAGGAAAACACATCATGAGTAGGGAAAAGAGTAGAAGCTCCATGAAAGGAGAGGTTTTTTTTTCTGTGGACTGTAGCTAAGAGAGATGCTGTTGTTTTTCTGAATGAAATTTGACTTGGTGTGTTCAGTTTGAAAAGTAGGTTTAAGAAAAGTTTTAAATTGTAGTTTTTCATAACCAAGTTTAAAGAGAGTTTTTAGGGTAACTATACAAAACTGTGATGTATACTGATTAATCAGCGAAAACAGTTTCAACCAAGGACGCATCTATATACAAGACTTGGATGGGCTATAGTCCAAGTTAAAATTTTATTAATTTTTTTTTATTAATATTATATCAATCCAATTTATATTTAATTAAATTAGCTCTAGAAAAACATGTTTTGTCCATAAAATTAACCTCCTTGTTTTTAATTAAAATCTCTATCTTTTTAAATTAAGAGAGTCAAAGTTGAAAATCTTATCCTTCCTGATGCTAGATTACTTATTATTTTTTTATATATTCAACTTATTAAATTTAATAAAAGCAGCATTTTTTTATTGTTGTATGCTATTATCCATTACACAAAATCAACTCAATTTTATTTAATTATTAAAACATTGCTTCAAACTTTAAAAGATATTGAATTTAATATTTTTTTTATACATATGCAATATGTCTGTACACAATATAAAATTGACATGCCTCATCTAAATACTTTATATAAAAGCTATAAGTTATTTATGTCAGCAACAAGAATTGATGACAATTTACTAACATTGTCATTATAATATATTTAACTTAGCGATAAATTTTCAATTAGAAAAGTTGAATTCTAGATTCAATGATGGGATAATAAAAATTTTTGTACTTAGCTCTGTTTTGGAATCTAAAAATAACTTTAAATCATTTAAAGTTGATTTCAATGAATAAGAAATGTATTATTTAAAATCTCAATTAGAGTATTATTAGATTAATGTGATTCATCATGAGAGCTTTTAAAATATATTTATTATTTTTTAATTTGTCAAGAATTAATCAAAACAAATAAGTTTCAACACAAACATTTGATTAACATGTTAATTCTTCTTATTTTCACTTTGTATGGTTTTACTATCACCAAAGAATAAGCATTTTTAAATATGAACCATATTAAAAATATGTTTCATAATAAAATAAACAAGGACTTCTTGGCATATTTTATGATGTTTTATATTGAACGAAAGCTTTTTGAAAATATTTATTTAGATTCGATTATAAATGAATTTTATTCCATAAAATATTGAAAGATGTAATTTCAATGGTAAATTTATTTTTGTTTTTACTTTAATTTTATGTATTTTTAAATGTCTTTTTAATATTTTAACTAATATATTTGGATTAAAATTTTATTGTTAACTTTATAAATTTAAGTTCATGAATTAATAATTAATTTTAGAACTTTAAGTTCATGAATTAATAATTAATTTTAAAATATATCTATATATAGGTGAAAAAAATTCATGGCTACTATATATATATAGGTGAAAAAAATTCATGGCTACGCTCTTGATTTCTACAACACCTTACAACACTCTAAATGAACCCTAAAAGCTGCTGGCATCGGAGGCGGAGGAGGTAGTGACGTGGTTGTGGTGAATAGCAAAGATATTATCCTGTGTAAATGTGAACGCCAAATGCGATGAGAAAAATGGTTGAGGCAAAAGAAGATGATGTTTTGAACAAACATAGAGAGTCCACTGGTTTGTCTATGCAGAAATCCACAACTCGGCTATCCGATGTCAACAGTATGAACAGAATCAAAGCTATTACCACTGGTCCCCAACGTGCCATTTGCCAGAGTCTTCTTAGCTTCCTTCCTTTGTCTGAGCCTTCTATTACTTACCCACTAGGAGTAACGAGGATTGAGGAGAAATGCTGAAGATATGTGAGGAGTTACGGAATCCAGAGAAGCTGGATGGGACTATAAAGACAAGGGGCGAACGAGTTACCTGGAGAAAGACATGAGGGAAATAACTTAGGAAGAATGGAAATCTGAAGGACAAAGAAAGGGTCAATATCCGGAAGGGGGCATTGGATTTGGCTCTGCTTTGTTAGCTGCATCCCCATGGACGGCACAGGGTGTGGGAGTTCTCTTTCCTCTGGATGTCTCTGAGAAACGTTTAGATCTTTTTGTGAGGCTTGGTTATTTCATTCTGTAGGTTTTTGATTTCCTAGTAAGAGTAAACATCATGGATTTTTCTTCAGCACTAGGTGATTGGTTGATTCTTGCTGTTTGGCAACTTGAGGTCCAACAAGAAGATAGGTCTGGTATTCATTTACATATTCAATTCGGAAGAGCAAGATCGAGGAAGATACAAAATGTAAAGTTAAAGAGTTTACGGAAGCATTTTCTCATCTTCCGATTTTCAGTGCATAGTTTCTTCCAGTTGAGTAGATATTAAGGTTAATTAGTGAATCTTGAATATAACAGGAATTAATAATAGGAATATAAACGGGAATACAACCTCAGGTTGAATTCAAATTCTATCAACTATCCACAAAGGCACACAGTGGGATTTTTGTAGAAAGACACCTTTTTTAAACGTGCAAGGTGCAATTTTATCTGGAGAAGGCTTGAATTCGAGTTTGAACAACGGCTCTAGGGCACCACACCATGGTTCTAGAGCTGTAATCGACAAACTGATTTCAGGCCTAAGCATGCTCATCAGCTTCCAACACATAAACCGTAGGAACTTGCCCTGTTTTCGTATGCTGACTCTCGTAGCCATCGAACCTGAGTTACTGTCAACCATCTTGCTAATTATTTACCACTGACTAGACTCATGATCGATCACTAATTTCTAGAATAAGTTTATTGAAGCCCGCCCTAAGTGTCGCGGCCAGACTTCCAGTTACTAGAATATGTGCTTGAGGATCTATTAGCCCATACTCCTCCTGTCTCTGCCTGCAAAGGGTCAAAAAAACCATGACCCGAACGGCAAAAGTAACGGCTTCAACATATAGATCAAGGAGACTGTTGCTCGCCTTGCCTAAGAAAGACAAAAGAGACAGGCAAACATTTGAAATGCCGCCAGAGTTAACTGGCCCTTTACACATGCATCTGGCTAGCCATTTGTTTCTTTTATGATTTCTTTTATAAAGGCTCCACCTCCATTAATCTCTAAAGCAGGCAAAAAGAAGCCTATAAGTGAACAATTATTAGATGTTAGTGAAAGAAGAGTCGTTTCCTTTCATCTTTCATAAAGAAAACCCACTACTAAAGCATACCTTCCTTCCCTTTATAACTCAACTCTCTTCTTTCTCACTAAGTTTCGCATCCCCGCCTCCTTAGTCACCAAGAAAATTAGACCTATTCACCCTCCTCCATATTTAAACCCTCTTGGTTGTCTTTTCTTATCAAACCTTGAACCAATACTCAGAAAGCTTAAACCTCCATCAGAGTAGAGAGAAAACAAAAACAAGATGAGTGCCGATTGGGGGCCGGTTGTTGTTGCAGTGGTTTTGTTCATCCTCTTATCACCAGGGTTATTGTTCCAGCTACCAGCAAGAACAAGAGTGGTAGAATTTGGGAACATGTACACTAGTGGGATTGCCATTCTTGTTCATGCTGTTATATACTTTTGCATAATCACCATCTTGATCATTGCAGTAGGTGTTCACATACATGTCAAGTGATTGTAGAATTCCTTTCGTTTGCGGGGATGATTAATCAATCAGAAACACTCAGGCGAAGGCCACTTCTTTATCATTCTCATTGCTTGCTTTCATTTTATTCTTATACATGAGTTTCTTCTCTCTTTTACTCCGTATTACCATTACTTTCCCAATCTTCTTTGCTTGGTCTGGACTGTTTTGCATCAACATGCTAGGAAAATGGGAATAGATTTGCCTCTTCCTAAAATATCTCTTTTTATTCAAAACTCGTTGAAAATGATGCTTGATACTGGCAATGTCCCTCTTTGTCCTATTGATTATCTCTGTCTCAATTAATATAATAAAGTGATTGATCCTGCTAATGAACAATTGATCTCTATAATTTGGTATGAGACTGCTTACTGATTGCAACTACCACCAAAACTGAAGTCTGGAGTCTATAGTTTTTTATTTATTTATTTATTTTCATTTTGACTACTTCACTCCGTAGATAAGATATCATTTTGACTGCTTAAATGATCAGACTGAGTAAAAATCTTATATCATTTAGCCAGCTGGTCCTAAAACACAGGTTGGGACAATGATGGTGACCGAACAAGAGATCTTCAGTAACTCTTTATTCTAATCGGCCTACAGATGCAATAGAACTCTATAGCATTTCCTTGTGTTCTTGTTTATTTCTTTCTTTTAAACAAGAACCCTTCAGCATTTATTTTTCAACGGGCCTTCTAACTAAATTTCCACAACAACAAAATTAGAAGGATTCACATACACTGACTAGGATTAACAAGTCTTTAAACATTCAATGGATCCCAATAATATCGATGATGGTATATATGCATCGTGTATCAATGGAAAAACAGACCACACATTCAATTTCAAGCACTCATTTAATCAACCCAGCACTAGAAGATCAGTGCTTCATGCTTCTTATTCAAATTACTGGGATTAGCAGCCAAGATTCTAATAGATCATGATCATTAGCTATAAGAGACTATCTCTTCTTTAGCGGAAAAAAGAAAGAAAAAACAAAGAAAGACACATAGATCTTGCCCATCCATCAACAACGTCGTCAAACAAACATACCAAGTACTCGAGTAGTCAGCCAGTATAGATGTGCACATGAACGGCCAAGATGAGAATGGCATAGGCAGTGAAAAAGATGAGAGTATGAACAGCTATAGCCTTTCCATTCGTCTTCAAACTCCCAAAATCCACATGCTTGTTGTTTCCTGGTAACTGAAACAAAAGACCAGGTTGGAGCAACACAAACAGCACCACCCCAATTACCACTGGCCCCCAGTCTGCCATTTATGTAGCTCAAAAGACAGGTGGCGTTGTTTAGTTTTTTAATTGTTTCTAAGAGAAGTGGTAATTTCGTTAAGCTAGCTTGAAGACGAGGCTATGGCGAGAAGGTGGAAGTGAAGAGGTTTTCTTTTTCTTTTTCTTTTTCTTTTTTAATCTTTGTCAAGCTTCGAGGGTGGCTTTTGGGATATGGGAACCTGCAACAGTAGTTAAAAGCACAAGAAAAACAGTGTGGGTCATTTTCCTTGGTCGGTGACCGTCAAAACAGGAATGAGCGACGTCGTTTCTGGCACCCTCCTCATCCTATTTTCTTCAACCAAAAAAAATGATAGATTCTTGTTGTTTCAAAACTATATAAATTTAATCTTTTCTTTCATTTTGTTTTGAGAAATAGAAAATAAAAATAAAAAATAAATTGATTTTTTATATTAAGGGATAATTAATTCCCATTTTAAAATTAATCTTTTCATTCATTTCATGATTTTCTTCTGATTTATTTTTTCATTTTATTTAAGAAATAGAACGGGTAAAAAAAAAGGAAAATAATGAAAGATTAATAAGAAAAGAATTCATTTTTTGATACACAACTATTAAACAAAGTATACAATCAACCCAGTCAATGGACTATTTAATTAATTGTTGATACTATAAGGATTAATTGACTGTTTTAATATATTATAAGGACTGAATCCGTAAATCACTCGTTCTTCTTAGGAAGCAAGGAATCTTCAAAAGAAAGGCCCAGGCCCATGACTTGATATAAATAATAAGGACAGTACAGATTGCTAATCTCGAGAATGGGCCCCAGTGATGGAAAACCTCATTAAAAGCCATGCTAAACGGCTATTCACCAGCTTTCAAGGGAGTGAGGTAACGTGATCATGAAGTAAATTGTAAATTTCCATAAATATCTTTTTTTCCTACTTTTTGAAATAAAATATATTGGAAAAGAGCATGAAATGATAGGAAAAAAAACCCAGTTAATTCATTTCTTAAAACAAGAGGGGTAAATTTATAATTTACTCAAATACAGTGGACAAAATTAAGAAAGGCTAAATAATGGCAATCCAATTCCACTAAGACAATGATGCAAGCAGATGGACCTACAACGTTCCAATCCGTTGGCTTGATCAGTCCTTGAAGCAATCCTAATATTTAGATAGTTTTTGTTCCAGTTTAAAAATATATATATTTAAAAAAAATAGTTCTAGTTTTTAAAAAATATATATTTTATTAAAATGTCTTTGAAATAAAATTTTATATGTAAAAAATAAGTATTTATTAATGAAAAGAAAAGTAGGAATCTATTTATGAGATATAATTATTTTAGCTATTATAAAAAGAAGGATTAAAAAGCGATTTAATATAACAACAACAATTATTTAATTAATCAAATAACTTACTTTATAATTACAAAAAAATAAATAAAAACTATCACAATCAAATATTCTCTTATCAATATAATTAAAGGTGATGGTGCGTTTAACCATTCTCCCATCTGGTCTGCAACTGATAAGAATCCAATCAATTTACTCCATTATGGCCCTGACATTAATAGAAAATGATGCTCTCCCTTATCCAACTAGCCATACAAATAGCTCAAAAAAAGCTTATAAAGTGAATAATTGATAAGATAATTCATCTACAGTTTTCATGAAATTCTATTCTCGAATATATTCGGAATCTTTATCAGTATTTAGAATTCTAAATAAAATTTAATCCATAAAAATAAGTCAGATATTAACTATTTTAATTTATAATTTTTTGAAAAAAAATAATATTAAAATTATTTTTTCTAAAATATTCATCTATTTAAAAAAAACCTTTACAGAAATAAAATAAAGATAACAATAATAATATAAAGTAATTAATAAATTAAATTTTATGTATTCTAAATAAACTATTAAAGAACTACCCTCTCTGTGGGAGTTGAAAGGAAGATATAAAAATATAGTAACCAAAGCCCTTTTGGTATACTTTGCTTCATTCTCCTCCTCCTCCTCCTCCCAAGTCTTTCAAAAGTTGAGCTGAAAAGAAGGAATTTAGAGATTTTAGAATGAAGGATTGGGCTGCTCCTCTTATAGCTGCTGCTTTGTTTGCATTTTTGTCACCAGGGCTGGTCTTTCAAATGCCAGGGAAGGAACGGCCTCTTGATTTCATGAATATGAAGACAAGTTTAGCTGCCATGTTTGTTCATTTGGTTATCTACGGTCTGCTTCTTATTTTGTTTCTTGTTGTTCTTCACGCCCACCTTTATGTCTAGTCTACATGCAGTGTTTAGTGCTCTTATGCTCTGCTGGGATTTTTATAATTAGGTTGCTCTTCTCTTTTCAATTGGCATATTGTTGTACGCTATATAAAATCTGAATTTTGTTGAAGGGGTACAAAGTCTCTGTAGGTTTTGGTTGTTCTTATGCTCGCAGACATCTCTAGCAACTCTTTGAACAAAGAGTTTAGCTTTCCAAGGTATGACACAAACATGTGTTAGTGTACAGGATGGTGTTTATGTGACCCAGCATCACGAGTAACATGCAGGAAAGCAATAGCTGGTTAGTCCAAAAAGCTCTGAAGTCAAGATCACTTTGAAAATGGTGATTGTGGATCACGACAAAATGGAAATGGGACAAGAGGGTATCATAGGTATCTGACACACTTTATCATAAAAAAGGAAAAAGAAAAAAGTAAGCATAGTGCTCAAAATGCAGTGCCTGATCCTCTCACCATGTACCAGTTTGATCTCCACATTTTAACAGAGAATTGTCAGCTAGATCGTGGACCTGAATGTTTGGTGATGGTTATTGTATACAAACAACGAAGATTATAGATAAAACCATAAACAACAAGGATCCAATACAATAAATACCCATCTGGCTGCCATTTGAGCTATGCAAGTTGCGATTTCTAAAGCAAATCTCGGGAAAATCAGGTCTTTCAATCAAGCATAGATGGTGCACACAAACAGCACCTACCATGAAGAAAATTGATATGTTCCTTAAACTTTTCTTGCCTTGCGATCCCTCAGTCTCTATCTTCACTGGGCGTGCTTATGCAAAGATTCCAGATCCTCCAACCCTTTTCAAACCACTTTCATTCAAGTTACCCCTAGTCATCTTCAACCTAAATCTTTGCTTCTCTCTCACTAGCAACAGTTCTTCAGTGACAGGAAAAGCCAACCTATTGTGCCTAGTGCTTCCTAAATATACAATCCATTGTGCTTGAAATATGTGTCATGTTTATGAAGTTGCTCTGCAAGTAAATGCAGTCTGTTAATTGATTTAGCCAAGAATTCCAACTTGAAACCACAAAGCAAGGATAGAACTGCATTAGATATAACTAAAGAAATCAAGTACAAAGATTTGCTACACGAATCAGTTTCAAAACATCTATCATGAAATGGGAAAAGAAAAGCAGAGTTATCACAATTCAAGAAAATCAGAACGATCAAGCCTTGCATCCCTGTGTGACAGGCAGATCAGCATTCGAAGGCTATGAACCTACATACACGTGGACACCAACAGCTAACAAGAAAATGCAAATGAGAGCAAGGTAGAGGATGGAGTGAACCAGTATAGAAACTCCACTGGTCTGAAAGTTGCCAAACTCAACTAATCGCTGACGACCCGGTATCTGAATCAGCAAACCTGGTGTTAAGAGTATAAACAGCACCACCGCCACAAATACTGGTCCCCAGTCCGACATCTTCTCTCTTGCTTTCCTTACTGTGTGTCTCAATTCTCTCCTTTAATTAAAATGAAATCGTGGATTTGAGAAAATGGGATTTTAATGGCAAGGTATCGCTTTAAGAAGAACGGACAAGGATTGATGACTAGGAAATGTAAAGGCTAGAGAATCAAGCTCCGGGTTCACATCTTCTTAGCGCTCCATCACATGCGCTACAACTAAAAAGGAAACTCCACCGAAATACTTGAATCTACCTCGTTTGGATTGCTCAAAAGCACCTTATGAGATGGAAACACAGAGGGCTAACTTTTTGTGGATCTCCCCCAAGATCACACCGATGTCCTAAGATGTGGATAGACTAATAACACGGCCAGTTGTGCTGTCCCACACGACTAAAGCCCACTTGATGAATATTTTCCACTTCAGAATAATGATTCATGGACATCAGCTTGAAGCTTTGGTTAAACCATCATTAGAGGAGATTTTTATTATTGAGTCCCACGGTGTGGATCATTCCATCTTTAATCCACAGAACCCCATCATGGCCCATTAGAACCTGGACTCCAATCTTTGAAATGAGGTCCCATCATCTATACCCTCCCACTTCCTCTTATGAACAAATCAACCCATTACCATTTAGCGATTCTAATGGGCCCCTCATGCAAGATCAAACTCAGGGTATACATTAGAGCCGTGTGAAGATCAAACTCAATTCAAGATCCCATTTAAACCCCATCATTACCCGTTAATTAAGAAAATTAAAAGACGGGCTTTTGCTGCTGTTATTCAACCAATAATTTAACAATTGGTTCAAGTTTTGCTCTTTTTTTTGGTTAATTATTGTTTATTTTGATTTCTTAAGTTGTAATACTTTGTTATGTTTGGATGGAAGAGGATGGATTTCTATTGAGTGGTAAATTAGAGGGGAATGATTTAGCGTTTTTCTATATAATTGGTAAGTGTCCAGTTTGCTATGATCTTGGGAGTTTTTTATCTACTTTTTTTATGACCTTTTCTGATAAAATCATCCGAAAGAGTCACATAATGTTTATAAAAATCAAGATTTTTACATTATAATGACTGTGGTCATCGAGTCCCTTTGAAGACGATATGGACAAAGGAGAGCCGTGGCATGAGGTTCTTCAACGATCCAAATTACAAGACTCTGGGTATTTTCAGTTTCTTGATTTCAAATTGGCGTGTTTTTGCTCAGCGTGCAATGCCCATTGTGTTTGCGCTAGAGAAGGACAGAAAGGTGAAGGGTTTGAAGAGCAGATTGGTCTGTTGAACTAGTAATGTGGTTCGATAAAATGGAGTAAAAAAACACTCAATCCGTCGACAGCAGGGTTCGAACCTGCGCGGGCGAAGCCCAACAGATTTCAAGTCTGTCTCCTTAACCACTCGGACATATCGACATTATTTGATTCCAGTATTTATATTTATTATATTTATACCCACCCTAAGAAATTGACATTGTATTTTACATGACTCTGGCAAATTAATTTAAATTATTCTTTGGTTTTTATTCAAAGGAATATAAATATGAATATTATCTTTATCTAAATAAAATTTTTTTTTGCTAAATTGAGTGATAACTTTAATTTAATTTCATTTAATTAAAATTTGAAGTTTCAAACTTTTAACTTATAATTGGAAAATAAGTTTTCAATTATAAATGAAATTCAAAACTCAAAATTAAAAACATTATGTCAAAGGTAGTATGGTAGCTTCATTTTTGTTTTTTTTTGGTAGTTGAGAAACTCTTCATGATTCCTTTAATGCAAAGGCTTGTGGTATGTGATTGAGTAGGAAGAAGTAGAAAGAATTTTTTTATTTTTTTATTTTAAAAGTATTTTTTTATTTTAAATTATTTTAATATATTAATATTAAAAATAAATTTTTAAAAATACAGTTACTATCACAATATTAAATATCATGAAGATTTACCTTGTAATTGCTAGGTAGTGGCGTTGTTTGACCCCACGAGGCTAACTGTACATGTGAAGATAAGTTTTGATCCTCGACAGTGGACCGTTGTAAATTATTTTAATAGAAATCCAAGAAAATCGACGACGACGACAAGACACCAAACCCAATTTGTTCTCTATTGTTTCTTTTTCACTAACATATTTAAATCATGGTTCATTATTCAAATGAATGGTCCGCCGCCCACTCGATCCGACGGTATGAGAGTTGGTGGAGAAGAATCGTCTTGCAGATTGCTGCACTTGTCTAATTGATCATATAAAGTCGACACGTCCATTCATGCATGGAACTTTTTCTTTTTTCTTTTTCTCTACTTAATTAATCAAATAAAAGTGATATGTACATTCATTTAGAAATTTAAAGGGTTATCATATTAAAAATTATTAGTTAAGAATTAAATTAAGATATATTATAAAAATTAAAAATTAAAATTATATTTTCAAACCTAAAAAATCAAATAAAAACTTGATTAAGAAGTTATCATGAATTAATATATGTATATTATTTAAAAGATAAATTAATATTTTATTAATTTATAAGATTTTTTCTATTATTCCATAAATAATAAGTTATATTTCTTATTTTTTAATAGTTGTTTGTTAAACAAAAAAATTATATAAATTATAGAATAAAAAACTAATACTGCACAATGACCCCTTTCTTTTTTAAATCTGAATTTATAAGATTTTTCATCAAAAGTTCTTATAGATTATTATTGAAGTCCAGAAAATTGAATAACCTGTACTTTACAATAATTTAATTTTTAAAGAATTATTCAAAGCAAAAAAAATAAATTTTAAAATAATAAATTTCTAAACTGTTCTAAATTTATCTAATAAAATCTGAAAACTCTTAAATAATTTGATTTTATTAAAAATATATATATTAAAAGATTATATAAAATAAACATTTATAAAAGAAATTATATCAATTTAAGAAATTTCGCGCTCAGAGGGCCACAAAAAACAACTGAAGTTGTAATTTTTAAATTGATTATTTTTTATCGTCAGCCTTTACTGATTAGATTTTCAAGCTGCTGAAAAAGAAAAAGGTAAAGAAGGAACAAGGTTGGCTTTAATATAGCATGCTCCTCCTCCTCTTTTTCTTTTTCCCTTATATTATAAGCAATGCCCACGTAAGTGTGGATTGTAATTTGGACTAACAACAAACAAACAAATGAAACGGACAATAGGAAAGAAACCACATGTGATCCACGTTG